TGAGCCTTTTAACATTTTTGTTGCTTTCCTTTAGATGCCCTTCAATTTGTCCACATCATTCCTGAAGTCTAGTGCCCGGAACTGGACACAGCATGCCAGCTGAGGCCGCCCCACTGCCGAGTAGAGTGGGAGAGTTACTGCCCATATCTTGCGTAAAACACTCCTGTTTATACACCCTAGAATTATATTAGCCTTTTTTGCAACTGCATGACATTGGTGACTCATTCAATTTGTGATCCACTACTGCCCACCAATCCTTTTCAGCAATACTACCATCTAGCCAGTTATTCCCCATTTTGTATTTGTGCATTTGAGTTTTCCTTCCTAAATGAAGTACTTTGCACTTGTCTTATTGAATTTCATCCTGTTGGTCTCAAAACCAGTTCTCCAGTTTGTCAAGGTTATTTTGAATTTTAATCCTGTCCTCCAATGTGTTGGCAAACCATCCCAGCTTGGCTTCATCTGCAAGTTTTATAAGCACACTCTCCATTCATTATCCAAGTCATTAATGAATATATTGACTAGTACCAAGCCCACTTCTGGAATTAGGAGACTAAGCAAGGTTAGTCCTCTTGCAAAAAAAACAGCAGAGACCCCTCCCCACCTACTCCATTTTAGCTAGTAGCCCAATGGTTAGGGAACTCACTTGGGATATGGGAGACCTGTTTTCAAATCTCTACTCTCCCGGATTTGGGGAAGGACTGCAACCCAGATCTCCTTTCTTCCAGGAGTGTGCCCTATATGGTCACTCTCTCTGGCCCAACAAATATTCAATTTATAGAAAATGGAACAGCTTCAACAGGAGAGATGGAATCCCACATCAGAATATCCCATAAACTGGTGATTTAGGCACTCACTTGGTGTGTGAAAGACTATAAACTATCGAATATAACAAGGTTCACCATGAATCTGCTCATTCTTGACTATCTTGTGTGTGGTTTAGGAGTGCCCCGAGCACACCTACTGGATTGGGCCCTGCAGGTGAGATAATGGGGGAAAGCCCAGTTTGACAACCCTGCCAGGTCTTAGACATGAAATAGGGCACTGAACTGCTTGGCAGCATCAGGACTTAGTTGACTTTCTGAATGCCACTGGCAGAAACACAGGTGTTTAGGGAACTCTATTAGTGGAAACTTCAGCACCTAGGGAATTTAGGCACCTACAGAGTTAGGCAGTGACTGAGTGGGGGGTTCTCAGTGGCACCTTCCAGGCTGCTGTTTGTTTAAATAAAAAAAAAAAAAAAAAAAAACATACACAAAGAGAAAGACCATGCTTCTCTCAGAGTCCTGACAGCTCTAAGACACTGTCCGAAAAAACACAGTTTCACTAGATTCTTTGTTTAGTTTCATTTGCCAATTTTCAAAGCAGTTCTAGTTATAATTAACATTCTTCAGCAGATTTTGCATTTTAAGTTATTATGCCAACTCCCAAGATCAGACAGACTGGACACCTGATCTGGATGTCAAAGAGACTCTTCCAGTCAGAGAAGTGGAGGGAAAAAGACACTCAAAATTTAGCTATAGAGAACGGAATAAAATTCTGAGTAGCAGATTCAGTGAAATGGTGTACAAAATTCTCTTAAGAATTAAATGGTGAAAAGGCAAAGTAGGCAAGTATATTTTACTAACTAAAAGCCCATGAGAAGCCAAAAGTAACCTGAAGTTTGAGCTTTGTACACAAAAGTATTTCATTCAGAGTAATCTTCAGTATTGCAAGGGAAAACAAACAAGCAGATGGATGATAACAAGTGTGCAGGGTATATTTTTCTTTTCTCCTCCTCCTCCCAAAGGCTCAGAGATGCAGCCTCAAAGAGAGGGTGGTAATCCCCTGAGCTTTAGAGCTCTCCTGTACAGCAATAATGTAAATCTACACAGGCATACTTGCCTTTAGAAAGGTTAGAATCTAACAGGGCAAAGGAGTAAAGCAAGCATGGTGATCTTCAGTGGCATGGAGGGGTTCTCAGATTTTTAGTAAAAATGTTTTCTCTAGTCATTTAAGATGAATGATGGCAAGTATGTATAATTACTATAAGAACCTTCACCGTCATTGGTTTAAAAGAGCGGTTTTCTATTGAAAGAATTGTTAAGGAGTAACATAATGGGTTACAGAAACGCGAAGAGTAAGATTTCCTGTGACAGTGCAAACTGTAAAAATTCTTGCAAAACCTTCAGAATATGACATTCCTCCAAGTTATGAAATCCTTCTAAACAGACCCTTATCTATCCTGCTTACAGGCCTGGAAAGCATCAGGTTGGAGTTTATATACTAGATCAGATCCATGGTCCCTCTAGTCCACTATCCTACCTGGTGACTCCGGAGGAGGGTGAAAGAACCTGATAGTAGGCAGATGTGGGGAAATCTGCTCTCACTAAAGTTTCATGCTAATCCTTAATAATTAGATATTGGCTTAAACCCTGAAGCACAAGGATTTTAACCCTTCCAAAACTGTTTGGATAATAGCCAGATTATAATTAATCCATATAATACATGTCTAAACCCTTTTTGAATCTTACTAAATTCCTACTAAGAAAAAGTCTAAGGAAAAAGTATAAAACAGTAACAAGCCTAAAGGCACCTTAGACTGCTAAGTGTTCTATTGTGCCTTTAACACACCACCTCTTTACATGTCTAATACCTGTTTACTGTTTTTCTTCTCTTCTGTATTTTTCTTGTCATTTTTTTTGTAAGCTTCAAATGTAGCTGGGTCAACACTGTACAAGCACTCAGTCCATTTCCCATAGAGTGCACAAACTTTCTTTTTGCTGTCAGAAAAAGGACTAATTTTAGGAACAGCTTAAACAAGTTATGAAGTTAGTTTTAGTGTTTTCAGATTTTAATATTATGAAAAGGATTCTAAGAACAGATTTAACACCGAATCCCCATCTTACTATACATTACAGTTACTAACAAGTTACCCTCACACATACATACATAAAGGTCCTTGGCAAAGTATATTATAACAGTATTTATATAAGTATATATTATATATATATACTTAAATATATTTTATATATATATATATCTGTATTAGATATTTAAGTAGTATTTTATTGAACAGTAGATCTAACTAAGACAGAACTTTTACCTTTTGTCTTGAATGTAGCCTTCAACTTTGTGTAACTCCTTTCCAAAAAGCCCACATGGTTTGAAGTTTAATACACACTTCTCACCAGTTCTAAGGAAGAAATATTTAGCTCAAATTACTTTGCAATAATTTACTACGTTTTAAAACAAACTAACAAGTCATATTCCAGCTTACTTGTGATTAGTTATTTCTACATTTCCATACTGCTCAATCCAAAGTTTACCCACAATAATATTATGCACACAGCAAGTAGGATTTGTCCATGTGTAGGCTTCATCGTGTCTGAAAAAAAAGAGGGACAACAACTGCTGGCATAATCACACCTTTCAACAATATACCTGAATGACTTTACAGCAAGTATCTGGCTCTGGAACTTTATTTGTTACTGGCAACAAATCAAGGAAACAAGATGCACCAGCCATGCATGGTGTGGCAAAAATAGAAGACACTGCCTGATTTTGTTAACTGCTTAGCATGGCAGCTTCAGTGCATCTACTACTGGCATTAAATCAATGGGACTACTTACAGTAGTCAAGTTAAGCACACGTAAGTATTTGCAGGATTAAAGCCTTAATTATCTGAAGCCTATACAACTCAGGGGTGCCAGTGAACTGTACAATTCTGTTTGCAGTGGTGTTCAAGCCATTTGGTCCCAGAATGAGAGCGACAAGATAAGTGAGGTAATATCTTATTGGACCAATTTCCAATGGAAGGGACAAGCTTTTCAGCTTCACAGAGCATTTCCTCAGGTCTGGAGAAGGCAACTGGAGTGTCCAAGGTAAATATAAGGCAGGACACATTGTTAAGCATAAGTGGTCACACATGCTGTATGAGACCACTAAAAATGAAGTGGGCAATAAGGGTTAACAGGCAGTAGGGTGTGTTATAAATTATTGTAAGGAGCCATAAAAGCAGGAAATATGCAAACTGCATAAAAAAAAAAAGACTGTCTGCTTCATCTATATGAAATAGTGGCTATATTAAAAGTCATCTTGCAGCACTGGAAACCATTATATAAGCCTTTATTCTGCACAGCCTCAAAACGAAAGTCTAATACAGCAATCTGACCAACTTACTCAAGGAGTTCCAGAGTTATAGTCCCTTTAGGTTCTGCTTCCACACTCTTGCCCCAGAACTTGAGTTTAGGATAGATTGAGCCATGAAACACAAAATCGTTATTCAAGCCTTCAGCATAGAAAGCACTGATTGGTGGGTGATGACTAACTTGTTCTGAAAGGAGTCTAAACCCAAGATCATCTCTAAAAATAAAAAAAAATAAAAGTTTTCAGGATCACTGTTCTCTGCAGTTCTCTGAAATGCAAATTTTGTGAGTTTCACTGATACAACTGGTACTGTAGTGAAAGAATTTCCTTTAATTTTATGTTTCAGAATGCGTAAAGTTATAGCAATTATGTATGGATCTAGATATTTAAGCCACCAATTAGTTTAAAAACACTCACTGCAATATAGATCTCTCTCTGTGATGCTGCAAGACTCCAGAGGGCCCTGGTGCAAGAATAAGTTAGGGGGTCTCTTCCTGATTCTGAAATCCACCCTGTCCTGCTCTCTCACAGCCCCAATTCAGCTCTCCAACTCCTTTCTAACTCTCTCATAGCTCCAATCCTGCCCTCCCATCCCACAGCTTCTGCTTAGTTTTAAATTAAGTTTCAGGAAGAGAGGGAGAAAGGAACTTCAAATTGAATTCCTAAACTAGTTATGCAAACAAGATAAAAAGTTACAGGAATAAAAGATGTTTCTACTATGACCCCAATCCCCAAAAGTCCAAAAGTCAAGGAAGAATGTTGGCAATGGGGAATATTTGTTCCCACCCTGAATACATGGTCTGGAAATTTTAAGGATCTGAATTAGAGGGAGAAAGCTTCTGAAGAATCAAGAGAGGTGGTTTTAAATGGAAAAATATATTAGCATCTCCAGCATATTATCCTCCCACGACCATTAGAGGAGCAGGTCAAGGAGCCTTTAGACCAGGGGTTGGCAACCTTTCATTAGTGGTGTGCCGAGTCTTCACTTATTCACTCTAATTTAAGGTTTCGCGTGCTAGTAATACATTTTAACGTTTTTAGAAGGTCTCTTTCTAGAAGTCTGATATATAACTAAACTATTGTTGTATGTAAAGTAAATAAGGTTTTTAAAATGTTTAAGAAGCTTCATTTAAAATTAAATTAAAATGCAGCGCCCCCCGGACCAGTGGCCAGGACCCCAGTAGTGAGAGTGCCACTGAAAAATCAGCTCGTGTGCCACGTTTGGTACACGTGCCATAGGTTGCCTACCCCTGCTTTAGGCACTTTCTGTTCCTTGCACTGTACTAGGTGCTGGTACCTGGTGCTTCCCCAGGGGGCAGGGATTCAATACACACAAGGAGGGTTCTGCTGGGATGCAAGTCACAGGAAAAGGGTTCCCGCACCTCTAACACTGCAGCTCAGACCCCCACCCCTAATTCTTCCTGTGCTGGCAGCTGTGTCTCCACTGCCCCCCACAGCCACAGCCCCCACTTTGTGCTGCATTGCCTAGGTTCACCCCACCACATCCCTGTGCCCTGCTGCTGCCTGTTTCCTCTTCCCTACCACTGGGTGTTCTGCTCCCACACCCCTGTGAGTCCCTACTGCCACTGACAGCTCCCTCACCTTCAACCCTGAACCCCACCCCACTCCTCCTGGCTTCCTGTTCCCATCACCAGCCTCTCCCTCACCCATTCCCTTGGGATCCTCCTCACCTGCACCCTGTGTCCCGGCCCTGCATTAGTGCCTGCAGGGGCAGCTCAGTGCGGGTAGCTGTGCACCCTTGCAGCACAGTGCATACACCCCACATGACTCAGCCTCCAGGCAAGTGCAATCAGGCTCCTGAACAAGCTTGGGACAGGGGTATCAGCAGCCAGTCACTCCGCAGTGCGGGTGGGCAGCAGAACAGCACCTTGGGCAGTGCCACCTGCCTCAATACTGCCACCAGCAGCAGCATCTGATAGTGGTTGGGCCCTCATAATTTCCAGGGCTCTGGTGTGACTGCACCACTTGTACCATTGTAGCTATGACATGGTCTTGGTCTCGGTCACACACACACACACACCCCCACCCACCCACCCACCCACCCACCAGACAAGTTCAACAGAAATACTAACAGGCTTAACTATTTTAAAATGACAAATTTTTGACTACACATTGCAGCATCCACATATGTGTATCTGACTGATGAGACCCCGACATAACAAGTAGGCAAGAGTGGCCCAAAACAGAAGGGGCTTAGTTTATTTTTTAGTTCTTAACGAAAAAGATCTGTTTGTATATATTATCTAAGTTTCTGTAATAGTTTAAAGGACATTTGCACAACAGTAATTGCTTTTCAGGCAAAGTGTGTTTACACGGTAAGTCTTTGTTTAGTATAGATCTGAAACCTAGGTTTATACACTAAAAAAACCTGATATTTTTCTGATCACTTAGATTATATTAAGGCTGCTTTCAAGTAAAAGACACTTTCACAACTTTTCAACCCAGAGCAATTTTTACAGGCAAGTTTGACTCCCATAAAGGGGAAGTAACAACAGAAATGCTAACAACCTGCAGTGTGAGCACTTGTAACAGTTGCTCCTAAAATGCAGCCAATTTTCACACACACAAAGCAATTCACAAGCCATACAATGTGTTTACATAAACCCACAAATTCCATAAAATACACTTTGGTCTTAAATGCAGTTTCTATTTGTTACCTGACTAATTCGTACGTCTCTCCAAGAAGTGGGTTGAATGGTTTTCCGGTACGTTCCCACTGTGAGGCAACAGCAGACACAGCAAATGCAGCTACACACTGTTCAACAGAATATTAACATACATCATTCACCTTGTTGGATTTCCCTTTGATACTTCTACTTTAAATATAAAATTCTTCTACTGCACTTCATCTTTCTCTGTTACTTTACTTTAGTTCTGTCTTTGGCATAAAAATTGCCTCCCAGGTGGGCCTGGCAAGTTTTGGAAAGAGTGCAACAGACCTTAATAGTTTTGCAAAAAGCTAAGAAATATTAAAGCCTTTAAAAATTGAATATACATTGAGTTAACTTAACAGAACTAGTAAAGCAGTTCCATGTGTAGCAGATTACAGCATCTCTCCTCTCCAACAGAATGTTTAGCAGGCAGCAGATTTATCACAAATTTCAGTAACTTCTTCACGCAATGCATACTCAGCCTTCAGAACTCATTGTCGGTGGATGTTGTGAGGGCAAAAAGTACAACAGAGTTAAAAAGAGAAATAGCCAAGATGGTCAGGGATGAAACCCCATGCTCTGGGTGTCCTTAAACCTCTGACTGCAGAAGCTGGGACTGGATGACAGGGGATGGATCACTCAGAATTGCCATTCTGTTCATTCCTTCTGAAGCATGCGGCACCGGCCACTGTTAGAGACAGGATATGGGCTAGATAGATCATTGATCTGACCCAATATGGCCATTCTTATGTCCTTAGCTGAAAGAAAGTTGTACCACAGTCCAACCTGTTCAAACAGACCACCACAAGCATTTTAAGACACGACTACAGAGTAAAGTACCTGCATCCTCTCAACTGTGCCAGAAAGTGAACTGGCCTGGTGGATGAGGTATGTATGTTCCATATATTCTGTAAGTCGCTGTAGGAAGCTCAGTGGCTCGTTGAAAATAACCGGCATAGTGATCTTGGACAGCTCCTGACACAGGATAGAAAGTTGTATTAAAACTGAAGAGATTAAACAAAATGAACTAAGTAACAAGAATTTAATTGGCTTATTAGAGAAATAAGTCAGGTTAGCCTAGTGGCAATGCAACATCCCTTGACCTGGCCAGCAAATTCGAAAGAAAGACCCACATCTCTCAAGCTAAGCCTCTCCCTTGCATTGGTGAAAAGATGGCTAAAAAGAGAAGTGTATCTAAATCCCTAATGGGGAGGAGGACTAGGAAGATGGTGGGCATAGAAGAGAGGAGATTCTCAGGACTTCTCTTTTGAAAGGCTTTGTACACCAAGATTCAGAAACACTATTTTTAGAACAGGTACTGGCCATCTGATGAGTCAAACAGGCAACCTTGGGGGGAGAGGGAGGGCAGGCGGGCACGAGAAGCGATAGGAGTAAGCTTCTGAAATGAACCGTACTTGATCTATCAAATATTGTCACAAGAATCCAGGTCAAAAAGGCTAATAAAGTATGGTGTGTAATATGAATAAGTTATGTAAAGTCTTGAAAGAAATCTATACATTCTTGCCTTAAAAACTGACCAACCTAATGAAGCTGGAATATTTAATCTCCAGTTCAGACAATTTATTTTACATAATTAGTTACATCCATTGGGCAGACTGGTATGATTAGATACAACTCAACTATAGGGTTAAAAATTAAGGGATTTATTTAACTTTGCTTTAATGCAATAGCACTGTAGAACAATCTAAGACTCATTCTTAGGACAGTTCTGAGAGCATGCAGTCAAGCTTCAGCAAGAAGAAAGGTGTTTACTTTCACTAATGGATCAGTATAATGGTTGTGCTAGATAATCTTTATGTTAGCTGCCAACAGATTAACCTATGTAAATTAACATCTGAAGGTTTTTTGTTTGTAAATCAAGACAGTTCCAATAGCAACCTAAGGGTATATTTTCACTAGCAACGTTAAAGCGCTCTGTGTAGTGGTGGCACCAGCACTGGGAGAGAGCTCTCCCAGCGCTGGTGGACTGTCTACACTGCCACTTTACAGTGCTGAAACTTGCAGCGCTCAGGGGGTGTGTTTTTTCACACCCCTGAGCGAGAAAGTTGCAGCGCTGTAAAGTGGCAGTGTAGACAAGGCCTACGAAATGACTAACCTTCAACTCCCAAAAAAGAGAGGGGGAAAAAACAAAACAAAACAAAAAACAAAAACATGTTTTGAGGCAGCCAGCATGAAAATGAATAAAACCTAAAATTTTAGTTTAAATTTGGGCCCAAATGAATAAGGAATATCTTCCAAGTTCTAACGATTGATTTCTAAACTAGTCAAGCTTTTAAATTTTTTAAATTAAATCATTAATTTATAAACATACAATAAAATTTTGCGCAGTTGCTACAATAGTAAACTTAACATCCAAGTTAAAACCCCCCCTCTCTGAAAGTTTGTTTACTACTAAGGCCTGGTTCACACTACCCCCCCACTTCGGACTAAGGTACGCAAATTCAGCTACGTTAATAACGTAGCTGAATTCGAAGTACCTTAGTCCGAACTTACCGCGGGTCCAGACGCTGCAGGCAGGCTCCCCCGTCGATGCCGCGTACTCCTCTCGCTGAGCTGGAGTACCGGCGTCGACGGCGAGCACTTCCGGGATCGATCCGGGATCCATTTATCGCGTCTAGACAAGATGCGATAAATCGATCCCAGAACACCGATTGCCTGCCGTCGGATCCGGAGGTAAGTGTAGACGTACCCTAAGTCTTATCTAGAATATCATGTTTCACAAGTAAGAGTGGGCCCCATTAAGTATGGAGATAAGAAACTGGCAAAGAGTATTTAAGTCTAATAAAAATAGAAAGAATAGAGTAAAAAAGTCAGACGACCTATACTTTGACAGATTTAAATATAAACCTTTAGTGTTGTAACATTTTAGTACATGGTCATTTATTCCCCAAATGCAGTTTTTCCTGCCCTTCAATTTCCTCTCAGCCTCATGCACCACTTGTGAAATTGCCCAACACTACACCTATTTCCAATATGGTGTTCCTACTCTTTGGGAAACACAGAATAGGGAGAAATCTGCCTATCCATGACCAGGACAAAACAGATATCTCAAGGATCTTTGTCAGCAATTTGACAGAGCAGAGCTGAAGCCTAAGAAAGCACTGGCTTCATTTTAACTGGTTCCTTCTTCCAGATTACACTGAGGACTTTTCAGGTGTCTTTCTGTGCACAGCACAGAAGAGCTCATTGCAGAGCAAGCTAGACCTGCTGCCAACAGCCCTTTTTGTAGCTTTCAGGTTACACTCTTATCTGATAAGAATCATAATGCTTCTTAAATTGAAAAGCTTCTGTGAAAGTCCATGTGCTCTGGAGTTCAAAACAACATCCCTGAGCAATCTTATCTCCTGTATGGACTTTCAGTAGGTTTCTTGCATATTGTGTCTGTTTTCTGATTGCAGTGAGAGGGGAACAAGTTTTTGAAGTTAATGTAATACCGATACACAGGAAACTTACTCCCAGAAAGAGCTTTCACCTTGTGGCTATGCAGATTCTCTTAGTAAGGCAACAGTGTAACTTTCAGTTTGGCACATTGCACTTTAGAGAGTGAAACCTAATCATTGTGGCCAAGATGAACTTGCCTACGTGGTGGGGTTACATAATGGAAAGAAAAGAAGCCTTCCCAATTAACCATTAACAGGGAGCAGACTTAAGATTCATAGATAAGGCCAGAAGGGACCACTGCGATCATGTAGTCTGACTTCTTGTATAACAGAGGCCAAAGAACTTTTCTGAATGTATATTAAATATTTGTGACTTGGGGCTTGTCTTCACTATGGGGGTAAGTCGACCTCAGTTACACTACTCCAGGTAAGTGAATAACATAGCTGGAGTCGATGTAGCTTAGGTCAACTTACCCCGGTGTCTTCACTGTGCTACGTTAATGGGAGACGCTCTCCCATCGACTTACCTTACTCTTCTCTGGGAGCTGGAGTCGACCGGAGAGCACTCTGCCATCGATTTAATGGGTCTTCATTAGAAACGCTAAATTGACACCCACTGCATTGATTGCAGCAGTGTCGATCTCCCCAGTAGTGAAGACAAGCCCTTCGTTCTAGTCTAAATTTATCAAACTTCAATTTCCAACCACTGGATTGTGTTATACCTTGATCTACTAGAATGATTGTGGCTGACCTGTCACTGAGCTTCCCAGATTTGATTAAACAGACCTAGTCACTAACCCATCTGAAGTACTGTGGTGAATCTGGAAAGTTTTCTACAACAAGTATAAAATGAGACTGGGGAGAGCTCTGGATGCTACAGGATCCTTGGAGGACTAATAAGAGAAAATGCCTTTGCTCTATTGAATAAATTGGCTCTTGGAGTCACCCTTGGTCTTTTTGTTTGTGAGCACAGTATAATCAACAAGTTAAAAAAAACAACAACAAAAACCAGACTTCTCAGTTCACATTTTGGTCCTCTTTAGAGATAGCCACAACCATAACTTATCACAACTTATATATTTTACTTACCATTCCAATACATTTTCTTAAGATACTCCAAATACTGAAGTCATTCCTGGAAAACATTGGAGATGGCAAGCTTGTTCTAGGGGGGAAAAAAGCAAACCACATTTATTTTATTAATCTCTTATCAAAATAATCTCAGTTGTTAACAAGGCTGCAGAATGTATTAAAGCTGTTCTAGTTTTAAGGCGCTCAGAACTGACTTATTGATAAGACAGGCCTACACAAGTTAAGTGTTCTTTATGTTACAATAGATAACTTTTGGGAGCTTTCATGAAAAAATTGTTAGGTGACTTTCAATTAGTCCCCCTAGAGCAGTGGTTCTCAAACTAGGGACGCCGCTTGTTCAGGGAAAGCCCCTGATGGGCCGAGCCGGTTTGTTTACCTGCCGTGTCCACAGGTTTGGCTGATCGCAGCTCCCACTTTCCCTGAACAAGCAGCGGCCCTAGTTTGAGAACCACTGCCCTAGAGGACACATGCAACATGATGTAAATACCCCAAATATTAGTAGTTTTAGTCAAAGAAAATTGTTTCTCTCTAAAGAAAGCAATAGTTCAAACAAATCTATCAAATGCTGGTGTTAAAGGAGTGGAAAATTCTGTACATCAGTTTCCAGAATAGTGTTTAAATATGATGCTGTCACCATGCTGGTAAAATCTGCCTCTACTTTGAAAAATGTATATTCATGAAAGATGCTGAAGATAATCCAGTTACATGTGAACAGGTTTCAGTTTTGTAGTGTTATTAGCAAAAAGGCTATTTAAAAAGTTACATTTAGCCAATAAATGACATTTATTACCTGGACTGGAAAACAGTCACAGAAAGACAACAGAAAACTAATGGAACAGATGAATGCACAACTTTCCTTAGATAGACAGGGCTAACATACATGCTTAAGCAAGGTTTATCCATAGTTTTAGACCAAATGGCTCTAGCATGGTTTGGTGCCTGGTGGGTCATGTGGCCTTAACATAGATCTTCACAGGGGCAAAAGCTTAGTTCTTTAAGCTGCTAAGACCACATCCACAATGGACAGCTAAACTACAACATGAACGTTAAGCACAGTTTTATATCCTATGTCCTGTGTAAAAGGGGCTTTAGTCCAGATAATCCGAATCAGAAACCTGGTACCATGAAACAATTACCCATATCAGGAAGATAACAAATCAGAAATCTTATCCAAGGCACTCTCAAACCACATAGTGCGAACACCACCACAACATTTCACTCTACAGTCTCTCTTAAGTCTCAAATTTATGTTAACAACTTTGGCCAAATATTTAAGCACGTGTCATGCTCCTGAACAAAAAGGTTCTCTCTTCCCCCCAAATTAAGGAATTAAGTGTTTTCAGAAATTTTTAGTGCAGCAATTTTTTTGTTCTTTGGTAGAGGTTTAAGTGAATCATCTTCCTTCGCAATGGCAAAAGCGTTAATTTCTATGAAATTTCATTTGTTGGGTCACTTACCTCTCTTTTGCATGCATCTTTCGCTGGTACTTCCATAACAGAAAAGCCATACAAGGGCTGATACTTTAAATTTTCAAAATGTGAAATACCGTTCTCAAAACCAGTAGCTATACATGCATGAAAACATATTGAACAAAGTCTGGCTTAAAGCAAAGAAATGCCCAGTCTTCTACAAATATATTGGCTCCTACAGTATATAGCAGGGATCAGCAACCTTTGGCACGCGGCCCGCCAGGCCAAGCCCCCTGGCGGGCCAGGCCAGTTTGTTTACCTGCTGCGTCCACAGGTTCGGCCGATCGCAATTCCCACTGGCTGTGGTTCGCCGCTCCAGGCCAATGGAGGCTGCAGGAAGCCGCGGCCAGCACATCCCTTGGCCCGTGCCGCTTCCTGCAGCCCCCATTGAGCTGGAGTGGCGAACCGCGGCCAGCGGGAGCCACGATCGGCCGAACCTGCGGACGCGGCAGGTAAATAAACCGGCCCAGCCCGCCAGGGGGCTTACCCTGGCGGGCCGCGGGCCAATGGCTGCTGATCCCTGGTATAAAGGAATCTGTGGAAAACACATTAAATTTTGTACTAATTTTCTACAACTATCCAAAAACATTTATTCACCTTTTGAAGTGTGGGAGTTCAGTGAAAGAAAATTGGTGTTAAAGAATAGAAAGCTCCTTTTGGATCAAACATGAAAGGAATCACATATCCTTATATTTTAATAGATCTGCTATTCTAAACTTCAGTAATCTGAAATGAAGTGAACTGGTCGTCCTGAAGACTACTAAGTGTAAACATTTCCTTTGTTGATGCTTTTATGTGTGTGTCCAGAAGAGGACAGTGTCCACCAAGTAATTAAATTTGATCTATTTTTAGTATTTAATTTAAGAATAGACTGGAACAGAGGCAATCTGTGAAGCGTACATAGTATTTAGCAATGAGCACTTCTGCACAGAAAGCTATGAATATATTTTTCTAGCTTGCCAATTTATATATGAGGGTGGGTTTAAGAGGAATATTTGGGTACTTTTATTGAAAAACAATCACTGGCTGCTAGCAACGTGTAACCAGCAAGGGATTGTTTTTCAATAAAAGAACCCAAATATTCCTTTCTTAAACCCACCCTCATATATAAATCACCAAGCCAGGGGGGGAATCATTCTTGTGTGTGAAAGTAATCTTTCATAGATTAAGCCCATTTCCTTCATTGCTTACAATTAACATCAGCTAAATTTGAAAGTGATGTCTGCTCTTTTCTCCATAACGTGCTCACATTTATTTTGTTGCTAGAATACCAATTTTGAATGGATCAAAATGTTTTCGGGGGTAAAAATTACAGACCTATAGATATGGAAAAATAAAGATAGTCAAATATTAGGCCTACCCATATTGACAGTGTCCCACTAAATACGAGAAGTGTTGTAAACTAGAAGATTACCTTCAGTATCTGTAAGCAGATTTCCTTTCAGAAGTCATTTATAGAAGGCAAACAGATCAAGAAAGTTTCAGAAAGTTAACTTTAGCTTTGCATAATGAAAATATTTGTTCTAATGTAAAGGATAACTAGCAGCAATGAAAGTGGCATGATTTTAAAGGGTCGCACCTCAAAAAAATCACTTCTGTCTGAAAAGCATTACTAGTAGGTAACACAAGATTACTATTGTAGTTACAGGAAATTTATTTTTTCAGCTTGCTTACTTTATGCATTTGACACTGTTAGTTTGTCTATGGGGAGACAGCGGGTGTGTGTGTGTGTGTGTGTGTGTGTGTGTGTGTGTGTGTGTGTGTG